CAGAACGCTCCCTGGCAAACAATTGATCTGCGAGACCACTGACAAATCACGATATTTTGCTCAACCTCGTGAAATAATCCCTAGTATACTCTAATAACTATCTTCTTGCAACATATTTACGGTAAACCTTTCCTGTTTTTGTCTCTGCCTCTATTGCTGATCGCGTTAATACCGAACTGGCAGATATCTTACTTATTTCAGCCTGTGCTGGGTTACTACTAAGCTAGTAAATATCTCACTTATGTCAGCCTCTACACTGTACTCTGGTAAATATCTCGCTTGTTTTAGATGATTTCTGCTGCACTTCTGTCCACCTTTGTTGTTGAACGTTGTAAAACTGGACTGGTAACTATCTTACTTATTTCAGCCTTTGCTGGGTTATCACTATTGAAACTGGTAAAATAAACCTCACTTTTTTCAGCCTCTACAGTGTACTCTGGTGAATATCTCACTTATTTTAGATGATTAGTGCTATACTTATCCCTGCCTCTGTTGCTGAACGTAGCAAAACTAAATTGGTAAATATCTTACTTATTTCAACCTCTACACCAAACTCTGGTAAATATCTTACTCAGTTCAGCCTCTGCTGACGGGCTGGTTATCATCTCCTCGATAACAGCAGGTCCCTTGTGTCGTGGTGCGCTTACAGTCTTGGCCCATTTAGCTTGTTCAGGGCCTGTGTAGCCGACGAAGGCCCATGAACCATGGAACCCAGGGTGAACATTCCCTGTTGCACCTACGTCATAAAGCGCCTCCTTTGCATCGTTCACCGAGGTGCCTATTGAAAAAAAATTGACCTGCTGTGAGAGTTGCCACACAGCAACCCTACAAAACTCATCTTTCCTGATCAGTAGCAAAATCTGATGACAACTTAATAGGAATCACATCTCGCAGGACAGAATGCAGTAGAATTTCTCGCACGTACATTAGACAATTTCTTATATCAATAAGAGTACAGACACACGGACGAAATCCCGCGCGATCTTGAAATTTCGCGAAATTGCTAGCAGTCTAGCGTTGTTATTTCTCGAGAATAAGAGACAAGCTGCATCTAAGAGAAAACCATCAAAATAGTTGAAGATGAATTTCAATTCAGACTGGATATAAAGTTTCTATTTTATTTTCCACTGCTCAGTGGCCATGCGCAAAGTGATTTACGAATGGACTGATCTCGGTATTAATTACTAATGAAATAAAGGTACGCTACAAAAATAACTTTCCTGCATTTTATTTTTGAGTTATTGTATGAATGACTCCAAGCTTATGACGCCGTGCATTAGGGCACTGTTTTCGTTAAAAGAAATAAATTATTCAAATTCTTCTACTTTCACATTAGTGGAAGACTATGCTTGATACTGTAGGTTTGTGTTTTTGTTAAAAAACTTATTGGTGCCAGCTTTTTATATGTCAGTCTTATTGTTGGTGATATATTTCGTTATAGCATTGTCAAAGTATCGGTAGTCTGCAGATCAGCTTCTTTGACAATGTTATGACCAAACTTGTGATCAGTAACAGGACAGGCGCATGGAAAAGTGACGTCAATTTGTTAAACAGACGTAGAATTTCATGAACTTGCTCACAGATACTTACCAGTGGTCCCCTGGGTACCGATGAGCACTATCCTCTCCTGGGGAAGTTGTTGTAAGAACTTCGCCATCTTAACACCCTCCCCCTTAGAAGGATCCGCTGTGTCAAAATTCGCCGCCATTATAAAGTTTCTATCACTGTCCAGAACGACCACATTATGTCCCCGCTGCATGGGTGATCTCTCAATTCCATTAACTTTGATTGATGTTCGGCCTGTTCCCTTAGGATCGTCTTCACCCTCAGCAACAATAGCGACTTTAACCACTCCTGGAGAAATTAAAACGTACCAATTATTATAACACATTCTCAAACTTATTAATAATTCATCAAGTTTAAACAAAGGAAATCACGACCGTGACGGTGTTTGGATATCTGATCTTAATTAGCAAAGATTTCTTTAAAGATTCTATTTCTCAGTTTTCTCCTTAACTTCAGTCCGAGGGGGTACTCCCAGACAAATGGGGTGGGGTGGGGGTGTGCGGCCTGCTTCTCAAAATCCTTACCCTATTTATGACCAAAATCTGACCAAAAATTTGATACCCTATCTATGACCTGGCGCTTAAATCAATACCCTGTTTTAGGCCTGCCTTATAATTACTTCCCTAGTTCAAACAGATGTTAAATTGCCTAAACATAATTTGTGAAGGGCTTTTGTTGATGGCCTGATAGATAATGATAAAAATGTAGCTTCTTCTCAAAAAACATACCTATATCAACACTAGAGTGCAAAAACCATACCCTATTTATGACCAAAACAGATGAAAAACCCTACCCTTTGGTGCCGCACATACCTATAGTGCCCCCCCCTCCCGGAGAGGGGGGTGTAGTTTCGAAGATATATCAAATACTCAAAACAGTGTTTGACAACATTTCCAAACGCCTGGAGTTACGTTAAAAATACTCCACTACACGTCGTATTCTCAACTCTCTTTTCGGTGTTTAGAAATGAGCTCATTTCGTGTTCGATATATTACGTATTAACACAATGTTGAACTATGAGTCTATGGACACAAATGTTATGAGAAAAAACTTGATATCTTTCTACATTCATGCCGGCTAAAACAGATTTCAAGCAGTGAAACAGTTACAGTACTGAGAACGTGTTGAAACAGCAAGAATAATTGTTTCCTCTCGGTTCAATTTTGTCGCTGCCCCAAAATTAGCCACAATGGTATTTCTCGGTTTGGTGTGATCAGATGCAATTGCTGAGGTCTGCAAGACCACTGCATACAACTTGAATTTCAATAAATTTCGGTCCTTGTTCCCTCTTTACAGTTTTGAAAAATGTCAAGCTTGGTTTCAACATCTTTCAAAACAGATTCTTGAGCACCGTGTAATCCAATCTATGAAGATCAAGCGATCATTGCAACAGAGATAAATGCTGTATTCTCAAATTCATCAATAATTCATCCAGTTTGTAACCATGACCGTGACCGTGCTTGGATATCTGATCATAATCAGCATAGATTTTTACGATTTTATTTCTCTGTTTTCTCCTTAATGTAGTTTTAATTGAGAAAATATATCAAACATTCAAGACAGTGTTGGACCACGTTTCCAAACACCTCGAACTTCCTCAAAAGTACTCCTCTGTGCGTCGTATTTTCAACTCTCTTCTCGTTGCTTGGAAATGTGATAAAATACGCCTTCTCCTGTTTATACACTACTTAATTTAATTGAAAACACACAAACCTTTCTGAGCAGCTGGAGTAGGAATGAGCTGCGCCACAATCGCAGGTCCATGGTACCTGGGCCGAATTTCTGCTTTGGTGTAAAATCGTGGCGCAGGGCCAGTGCAGCCGGAGAATGCGTAGGATCCGTGATAACCAGGATCAAATGGTCCTTGGGCTCCAAGGCGCTCCAGTGCTGGGGCAGCCGTAGCAACATTGTTACCTAAAAAATTTAATCCAGTTTGGTCAAGATCACATACAACAACTGTTTGTTTGGGTAATACATGAATCCTTCTTTGCACAAACTTGCTAACAAAGCATCGTTGTTACCACCACAATACCGCTTTAGTCCTTAAATACCTCAGCAACATGTTGGCATGAGATGTTCAATGTAAATAGGGTTCCACTGAAACTGCCTTGAATCTTCATTAAGTCTTTCAACACAACCATACAAACCTCTGTAAGATTGTTACGACGAAAATACAGGTATCTTGTTTAATGATTCAACTTATACTACTCAGGCTGTCATACGTAGAAGAGTTACTGCGTGTCACAGCCTTAATCATTTTTCTTTTGTCTTTTGACAAAAGTGTAAGTACAGCCGGCTCCCCATAACTTGAACACTCACTAACTCGAGCCTCGTACTAAATCAAACCAAAATCAATTTTCCTTGGATTTCCATCGTACATGTACTGTAATTTAACCCTCGGTAATTCGAACCTTCGATAACTTGAAGCAATGTTTGTTTTAGCCTGCGAACAAGCTCCCGGTGTTTCTGTCCTCACCGGGAGCCTGTGCAGAGGCTATTGTGTTTCTCTTCGGGTCATTTTCTATACAATTTTACCCTCGATAACTCGAATTATGTTTGATAATACGCGAGCGACAGCATAGAACAAACGGTGTTCACCGGTACCAAAGAAAGTGAGCGTTGTCGAGAGGTGCCCGTTAGTGGAGCTTTGCATGCACTGCGTACCTATGATTTCCAACAGTTCAGTGACTTACCCTGCTCTCTGCTGGTGAGTCCTTGAGTCGCCACAAGAACAACGTGATCCTCAGGGAGCTCATCTAAGAACTGTCCCATGGCTGCACCCTCGCCAGAATTGGTGTTGAAATTTCTGGCCGCGTAGACATCACCAATTGGATCAAGCACAACAATATTGTGGCCAGGCTTCTTGGGACAGTGTTCCACGCCATTTACCTTTATGGAGGCTACACCCATTCCCCCTTCGTCTTCACCTCCCTCGGCACGTACTTCAAACTGCAGTCTACCTGAAAATTGTCACAGTAAGACTTAGTGTTAAAGGGGAATACTATGAGACACAATTTTACAGTAACTGTCTAATTTCTCGCGAGCTGATTGGCTCATTTTTATCATCAATAAGAGTGCACACGAATAAAATTTTAAATTATACAAGCTTTCAAATTTAACTTTCAGCCGTCAAACTGTCAACTTTTTAACCAATGAGATTTTATGGACTTTTTTAAGAAGCCAATCAAAAAGCGAGAAAAGCTAATGACAATGTTTGCGTCATTTTGAATAAATTTCACTTATCTCTGTTTACAGCAAGTTTACAACATCTTTTCCATTCATTTATCACCAGCATGTGACCATTTTGGGGTCTTGTTATTGTAAAAAACAAATTGGTGTCAGTTTTTTTTATGCGACTGTCCTCTCATTGATGCTAATTGCATCATAACATTGTCAAAGTTTACTACGGAACCACTCGCCTTTGGCTCGTGGTTCCACAGCCACTTTCACAGTGTTAGGACGCAATTTATCATCAATAAGAGGACAGACGCATAAAAAAACTGACGCCAATTTGTTAAATAGATGTCAACAGCTTTGCTCTCACACCAACTTACAACCATTACTACATGACTGAGAAAATAACTTCATTCTGATTAGCCTAACCCTAAGTGAGTGCGCTATCTTCGCTTGCAATTTACTCTCTTGGCTGAACGGTGACCCTCATTTTTCTCTCTGTAGATCAATTCCTTTCCCGGTTTTAACCATTTTTCTCTGCTCTCATGTGAACGACGTTTTCTATGAATGTGGATGGGCAAGGCTAATATTTATTCTTTTTCTAGGAATATACTACCTCAAGGAAAGACATCAGCTCCAAAAGTTTACTTGATATACTTAGTTGAGTTGAACTGAGTACGTTTACATGTACCTGATCTAAAGTTCTCTGATTTAACTTTTTTATGTCCAATAGCTGTAAGCTAATATCACCTTAAAACCTCTTAAAAACGCATGGTCTTCAACGTGCCCTCATTATTTTTGACATTTTAGCAAACGTTGATCTTTGCCTTACTTCATGATAAGTTTTTAAAAAATCTATAGGTGGGAACATTTTGGGCACGAATGTCCCCAAATAGAGAGAAAGGATATAGTTATCCTCTACTGGACAGCACAATGGAGATACATACCACTAGCTTTCAGTTGTTCATAAGCAGCTTGTTCTCTAGCACGGACCTGTGCCTCAGCAAAAAGCTCTGCAGCTGCATCCTCCAGTTCTATCTCCTCACCAACACCTGCGCCACTTTCTCTCTGTGAAAACAATTAGGTACTAGGTGAAGACAATGCCAGTGGCATACGTATCACTAGTTAATCTCTGTACCATAAATAAACAATCAGAAATTGACTTCTCTCATTGTGTTATTAGATGGTCTACCAATTTTGGAAACATTTTGCTGGCAGTTAAGTAGAGATACACATTAATAATTTCAATCAATGATGAACAACAAATTCCAATGACTTTTAAGCACTAAATTCACTCTTCAAGTACTTTTAAAACCTTGAATTAGGTTTACAAGTGCAAGGACTTTGATGCTGAATACAACTCCCACGTAAACACATCACAAACAAAACTAACAAAAAACAACTGCATAACAAGGGAGTACTGTACATTAATATAGGGACTTACTTTTCCGGCAAGAACAGCCTTCCTGATATCTCTGATGCCCTCATACACCTGAAAATGAACAAGCAATACATCTATGTCCCCAAACTACAAAAAAACTCTAAATTGATGCGCACAATTCATCATTAGATGAGGTGGAGCATGATAACAAGAATTATCAAGACTGACGTTTACGTTATCTGCCAAGCCAGTCTGTAACTACACATCTTTGCTTACCAGCTTAGAAGCATCAATGAACTGTGGTTCATCCACATCTCCATGGGGATCTTTAGCCAGTGTCGTCACTGAACGCTCAACATTCTGAGCAAAATGTGGAATAACTGAAAGGAATATCACAAAAAATTCCTTAAAATGGACTCACATTCCAATATTGCTGGGTGTGACCATTCAGAGGAAAGCTAATGGGAAGTGCTTTGATTCATGTGCTACTGTTTATTATGCCATACAAGACAATGGTGGAGAAAATCTTGAGAGTTTAGCTATTGAGCAGTTGAACAAAGTTTAGCTATTGAGCAGTACTGGCATATGGTGCTACTACTTTGAGTTATGGTCTGCATATGAAACCAAGGGTACTACCATTATTTTACAATTCTCAATTTCAAGTAATATATCTAACACGAAATACCGTGTTTGACCACATTTCCAAACACCAAGAAGAGAGTTGAAAATACGACTCGTAACAGAATATTTTTGACGAACTTCAAGGTGTTTGGAAATGTGGTCAAACACCATTTTTCGTGTTTGATATAACTTCTAAATCAAAATTTAAACTAAGGAGAAAACTGGGAAATTAAATCGCAAATTAAAATAACACCGTCACGGTCATGATCTCCTTTGTTTAAACTTGATGAATTATTGATGAGTTTGAGAAGTCAGTGGATGAAACCCTGAAACATATTGCAAAATATCTTACTCTCATTCCGCATAACCAAGACCGCCCTCATCACATTATCAGTGTACGGCCCTTGTTGGTAGTTCTCCATTTCGGCAGTGACTACATCTTCAAGCCTGGCCGTGCGTCCACGGATCTGTCCAGCAGCCCTGTCCACGTTCTCAGGGTCTTTCTCTTGAAGAGCTTGGACACACTTGTTGACATCTTCCAAAATATGAGCCTCTGAAGAAACAAAGTGAAGATACAGTTGGTAAAGCACAGCACTGTAAGCGGACATTTTAACAGGGTCTCATTACTCTCCATGTCCTTCCCAATGCTATCCCCTAAGAATGGATAAGTTAAACACCTTTTCTAAGCTTATAGTATATGCTTTTATTAGCTTACAGTACATGTAGATTCACAGTGAGATAGATTGATCAAAAGTGAATGGAATACCAACTGGCCCAGAACACAAACTGCACAATGATGCATGTAGGTGTGTTATTCAAACACTGGTCTGGTGTATCCAAAATCATAACCTGTTTGAAAGCTGCTATTTAAATATGTAATATTACACATATGTATATGCCGTAGAAGTGAAGAATTATCAAAGTTTACATTTATAGAGCTCTGTACTCGCGTAAATGACAACCATCTAACTGTGGCCAATAAGATTACATCATGTTTTTAATTGCATTTTAAGTCTAAACTTTACCAACAGTTTTACTAATAAAAGATTTCCCAAATTTTTGCATCTTAGAACTTGCCAGCTCAATTGCAAGACAGTCTGATTGTTTTGTACTTCATTTCAGGGTTCACTGTATTGGTGGAAATCAATATAATAAAGTTTCAAGATGTGGGTCAGTGTCTGGTGGAAATTATTCTTAAACCATTACAAATGTAAAACACACTGTTAAACCCCACGGCAATATTTCTTAGCTAATAACTTCATTTTTCTGTCTTCTCTTTTCTGCTTGACTGCGTATTGATTTTGTAAGGAGAAATTAGTTATTAATAATAAATGGATATTACTCAGGGTGATTCACCTGTAGTAGCCAGAAAGTCCTCAATACCAGTGATATCGTCAACAGCTTCAGTCAGGACCTGAAGTTGCTTTTCCCAAGCCTCCTTAAACACATCCATGTTCTCACGAGCGACTTTACTGTGTGGGCGGGCAGCAAGAGTTCGAGCAGCATTAATGACCTGTAATACAATATACATTAACCAACAATGGGGTTACATTAATAAAAGGATTTTGACGAGCTAAGTAGCAAATACTTAGTGGAGGGTGGCACTGTAAAAGTTCAGTGTCTTGCCTAAGAACACGACACAGTGATACTGGCCATGTTGGAATCCTGTACTCACAATATAATGTTATGACCATCTTTGTCATTTTTGGCAATTAATCAGTTTAAAATAAGCACACTACACTCTTACCTGAGGACACAGATTCTGCAGTCGTTTGGCTGCCAGCCTCACCATCTTCACTTTCTCAGGATTCACAGACATTGAGCAAGCGAGATTGGCCACCTGGTGTTACCGAAAAAAGGTGCTATTAATATACCAATAAATCCCAGAGTTCAGATTCAAAGGCTGGCTGGATGTTGGTACACATGCTAAGAACCGAGAATCTTGCCAGGCAAGAACGCAGGGTCCTATATATTTCCCCTGTGTGGGAAAAGGACATCATGATGATACTATATAAAATACCAGTTATATTCAACCCTTGCCCCCTTTAGATATTATCCACCCTTCCTACAGGTCCATCTATGTAGACAAAAAATTATATTCCCGGTTATACAAAATGCATGCCTTCCCTGCTACTCTCCAGTTACAAGACCTCCTTTACATTTTCTTGTTTGTCTACTATAATCACAATCACAAAGGGAATTCAATTGCCAAACCTTACCTCTTCTAATTTAGCAGCATGCTCTGTGAATAACTTAGCACATTCTTCCACTTCTCTCTCATTCCCTGCCTGTGCAGCTTCAATCATCATGATTAGCGGCATTGTAGTCTCCAAAAATGAATCTGATACGTGATCCACAACTGCACGGCGTAACTGAGAAATAAAACCAATAAAGACTTGTAAATACATGTGAAGATTTAACAAACTCATTATAAATAAATATTAATCTTATAAACTGAAGACACCCATAACCACGTTCATAAGCTGAGGGCATTAATCTCAAGATTGATACAAGAGGTTTCAGCGACCTTCACATGAGGTACAATTGGTGTTCTTACCAGGATTTTGCCATCGCCTGGTAAGAACACTGGTACAGTTCTACTGTATGAAAGAGATTTGAACACTTGACTTACCTGTCCTCTGAGCTCTCTTGTTCTTTTACACATTCTCTCCAGAGCTTGGTCCAAGGATCCACCAGGCGTGGCCTTCTTCTTTCCTGTTGCCTGCAAAAACAGCAAAAGCTTAACATTTCAAGACGGCTTTTGCAGATCATAATAAGTTGTCCCATACTAGACAATCCCTGGGTGTCACAAATAGATGACTAAAAAGGTACACGTAAATAGTTTTTTTCTTTTATGGTAATGGTTATGTGGGCAAGTGAAAAATGTTTTGATATCTGTTTTGATATCTGTAATTCCTTGTCTCACTGAAAAAAGAAAATTTGGACTCAATCCTCACAATGTAAGCAAAGTTAAGTGTCAACAGACCAATTGTTTCAAGCACCAGGCTCCACTGTTGCATTCATGTGTATTAATTAAACGTACTGATCAAAGCTAGGAAGTGGAACAAGTGACAGACAGTACAATATTATTATAATGGTTCTTACATGATTCATGTACTCAGAGAGTAGATCCTGCAAAGCTTGTCGCACTCCGTTGCAACTGGCAATGATTTTGTCACGGGTATCATCTCTCGTCGACATTGAATCAGCTAGCTGCGCTGCTCCACTTATGATACTCTCAAGGCGTTGTTCCAAAGTGGGACGGGTACGTTTCTCTGAGTATGAAGTTGGATCCATGGCAACTTGAGACTGCAAAAGTAAAGAAAAATTATCTTACTGGCTACTGCATGTACAGTCTGAAGTTTGTTATCAGAGCCATGACCAATAATTCCTGAAGGTAAAACTAGGCTGATCACTGTTTCACAAGAGGCTGCTATTTGATACAAATTCATTATGATTTGAATTAAATTTCTCAGTCTAGTTGTAGCAGATTTAAAAACTTCTTACCTCAGATTCAACTTTGTAAATTTATCACAACATTAAGCAACATGTGGCCTCACTTGCTCTGTACAAGTTTCAGGGTTTTCATGAACATTTTCAGCAAGAGAGCAACTGGTTTTCACTAGCAGGCAAAACTTTTTTAACTGAACTTCACCTTAGAGAATTAAACTTTCCTCTAGATGGTCAAACCAAGTGGGCAAAATCATCCTCACAGCCTGTCAATTTGCCTAGTGCCCAGCACAAAAACTCCTACTTCAAGTTTGCAGGTTTGGTTTCCACTACAATTTACCGACTATAGGAATTTTTGCTTTTGCTTTTCATTTATACTTACATCAAAGTCATCCAAAGCTGTCGCTAACGCCCCCGGTGCCTCCAGTGGATGTGGTCCACTTACACCGGTGGCCTGAGTAGCACCTGAGATTGCATTCACTGCTTCTGACATCTGCTTCATGACAAAATCTCTGTTTGCTTTAGCAGAAGTTACTTCAGGATGACGTACATATGCCTGAAAATAAACAAAAGATAANGCACCTGAGATTGCATTCACTGCTTCTGACATCTGCTTCATGACAAAATCTCTGTTTGCTTTAGCAGAAGTTACTTCAGGGTGACGTACATATGCCTGAAAATAAACAAAAGATAACATGCATTTAAAATAAGAGAGTGTTCACTGTACAGTGGAGGCAGCTTTGTCAAGTGTCTTGACATTTTGAGATCGCTATCTCAAGCCCTATAACAACACAAATGTCTGTTTGTTTGTTTGCTATCTTACCTTTGAATTAGTTTAAATGATTGGGTTTGACTAATTGACTGAATGACTGACTGACTGACTGACTGACTGACTGACTCTCTGTCTGTCTGGCTGTCTGTCTCATGACATCACAACCATCTAGACACTTTACCAGTTAGGATTCTTAACAATGCCACACTTGTTTTATTGTGTGTGAAGAACTTGTCCACGAAATAACTGGTCTAACTCCAAGCCACAGACTACCCTCCCACACAGAAGTTCTCTGGGCTAGTGACACAATCTTTCCATACATATAGAACCCAAGAAGAATCTACAAACTTGATTCTGCAATACCAAATTGCAGAAGGGTCCTGCTAACATTACTTTGACTGTCTTGATTGTAAAAAGTAATAGCACATACTATTAATTTTAAATTAATACATTTAACAAAAGTTGACCATAAATGATCAATACATTATTGTTCATAGCAAATGTTTTAAAATTCACCTTGGATGATGACAGCAACATTTTACTGGACTCTTTCAGAGTGGCTCGGGCAGCAGCCATGTCATCTTTTCTCTGCGGGTCTTTCAAATCCTATTTTTACAAAAACAACATGTGAATTTGAGTACTATAAAGAAGAAACGTTCTGTCCCTATTATCCACCTAGCTTCTAATAGTAACCGTGTGAGTTCTTAAACTACAACTATCCAAAGGAGAGGTTTCATTAACATTTTCAGCGGGAGGACAATTGGTTTTCACAGTTGGGACATACTATTAGAACTTGTTATAGTGTTAATGAATTAGGTTTACACAATAGGAAACTTTATTAGGTGTAATGGTTATGTAAGATATATTACGTAACACATGTCCCAGAGCAGAACCTTAAATAGTCAAGTTGCATGCATGTTTGGATTATTGGAATTGTATAACTTAAGTTTAGCTTAGTAAACATTAAAGTTCAGTCGGCCGTTTTATTCACGAAGTAGCCTCATTATTCAGCGCTTAGACACAACAGAACTGAACTTCTTTGTACGGAAACTTTCCACTAGATGGTCAAACCAGCCAGGCAAAATTGTCCTGAACAACAGGTCAATTTGTCTGGTGCCAAGCCCTTAATGAAACCCCTGCCAAAGGACCTTGAATAATTAAACAAATTTTGTCTGACTAGAGTATTCATTTATGTGACAGTTAACTACATGTATAACAGTTGAACCTCTCAACAACAGCCACCTTGGGGATGGAGTTTACTGGCCATTGTGGAGAGAGGTAGCTATTAATGGGGGTTAAACAGCAAATCTCTCAATTGGTAGAGGTTCAACTGTAGTTAGAAAAGACTGTTGCTAGTGACTGACATTTTGATAACCTGACCAGATATCATCTTTTTGTAACTCTGAAGTTATTCTTCCTGGGTTTAAAACCATTTATGATTACAGAAAAAAAAGCAGATTTTGTTCACTCACAGCTTGTCTCTTTCCAGACAGCTTTGCCAAGTCCATCAAGTCATTTCCAAGATTTTTAAAGGAGTTCAACAAGTCTGCTGTATTGCTGGCCTTCTCTAGCTCCTTCAGTCTCTTCTCCACCTAAAACAAAGGTAATTCATTTATCAAATNTTTTACAATTCTCAATTTCAAGTAATATATCTAACACGAAATACCGTGTTTGACCACATTTCCAAACACCAAGAAGAGAGTTGAAAATACGACTCGTAACAGAATATTTTTGACGAACTTCAAGGTGTTTGGAAATGTGGTCAAACACCATTTTTCGTGTTTGATATAACTTCTAAATCAAAATTTAAACTAAGGAGAAAACTGGGAAATTAAATCGCAAATTAAAATAACACCGTCACGGTCATGATCTCCTTTGTTTAAACTTGATGAATTATTGATGAGTTTGAGAAGTCAGTGGATGAAACCCTGAAACATATTGCAAAATATCTTACTCTCATTCCGCATAACCAAGACCGCCCTCATCACATTATCAGTGTACGGCCCTTGTTGGTAGTTCTCCATTTCGGCAGTGACTACATCTTCAAGCCTGGCCGTGCGTCCACGGATCTGTCCAGCAGCCCTGTCCACGTTCTCAGGGTCTTTCTCTTGAAGAGCTTGGACACACTTGTTGACATCTTCCAAAATATGAGCCTCTGAAGAAACAAAGTGAAGATACAGTTGGTAAAGCACAGCACTGTAAGCGGACATTTTAACAGGGTCTCATTACTCTCCATGTCCTTCCCAATGCTATCCCCTAAGAATGGATAAGTTAAACACCTTTTCTAAGCTTATAGTATATGCTTTTATTAGCTTACAGTACATGTAGATTCACAGTGAGATAGATTGATCAAAAGTGAATGGAATACCAACTGGCCCAGAACACAAACTGCACAATGATGCATGTAGGTGTGTTATTCAAACACTGGTCTGGTGTATCCAAAATCATAACCTGTTTGAAAGCTGCTATTTAAATATGTAATATTACACATATGTATATGCCGTAGAAGTGAAGAATTATCAAAGTTTACATTTATAGAGCTCTGTACTCGCGTAAATGACAACCATCTAACTGTGGCCAATAAGATTACATCATGTTTTTAATTGCATTTTAAGTCTAAACTTTACCAACAGTTTTACTAATAAAAGATTTCCCAAATTTTTGCATCTTAGAACTTGCCAGCTCAATTGCAAGACAGTCTGATTGTTTTGTACTTCATTTCAGGGTTCACTGTATTGGTGGAAATCAATATAATAAAGTTTCAAGATGTGGGTCAGTGTCTGGTGGAAATTATTCTTAAACCATTACAAATGTAAAACACACTGTTAAACCCCACGGCAATATTTCTTAGCTAATAACTTCATTTTTCTGTCTTCTCTTTTCTGCTTGACTGCGTATTGATTTTGTAAGGAGAAATTAGTTATTAATAATAAATGGATATTACTCAGGGTGATTCACCTGTAGTAGCCAGAAAGTCCTCAATACCAGTGATATCGTCAACAGCTTCAGTCAGGACCTGAAGTTGCTTTTCCCAAGCCTCCTTAAACACATCCATGTTCTCACGAGCCACTTTACTATGAGGACGGGCAGCAAGAGTTCGAGCAGCATTAATGACCTGTAATACAATATACATTAACCAACATCGGGGTTCAATTAAAGCATTTTGACCAGCTGAGTAGCAAATTCTTAGTAAAGGGAGGCACTGTAAGAGTTCAGTGTCTTGCCTAAGAACATGACAGAGTGATACTGGCCATGTTGGAATCCTGTACCCACAATATAATGTTATGACCATCTTTGTCATTTTTGGCAATAAATCAGTTTAAAATAAGCACACCACACTCTTACCTGAGGACACAGATTCTGCAGTCGTTTGGCGGCCAGTCTCACCATCTTCACTTTCTCAGGATTCACAGACATTGAGCAAGCGAGATTGGCCACCTGGTGTTAGGGAAAAAAGGTACTATTAATATACCATAAAATTCCAGAGTTTGGATTCAAAGACTGACTGGATGTTGGTACACATGCTAAGAACCGAGAATCTTGCCAAGCAAGAATGCAGGGCCCTATATATTTCCCCTGTCTGGAAAAAGGACATGATGATACCATATAAAATTCCAGTTATATTCACCCCTTGCCCCCTTCAGATATTATCCACCCCTCCTACAGGTCCATCTATATGTAGACAAAAATTACATTCCCGGTTATACAAAATGTAAGCCTTCCCTACTCCTCTCCAGTTACAAAACCTCCTCTACATTTTCTTGTTTGGCTAATATAATCATGATCACAAAGGAGCTTCAATTACCAAACCTTACCTCTTCTAATTTAGCAGCATGCTCTGTGAATAACTTAGCACATTCTTCCACTTCTCTCTCATTTCCTGCCTGAGCAGCTTCAATCATCATGATTAGCGGCATTGTAGTCTCCAAAAATGAATCTGATACGTGATCCACAACAGCACGACGTAACTGAGAATAAAACCAATAAAGACTTGAAAATACATGTGAAGACTTAACTACCTCATTATAAATAAACATTAATCTTATAAATTGAAGACACCTATAACCACATTCATAAGCTGAAGGTACACTGTATTAATCTCAAGATTGACACAAGAGGTTTCAGCAACCTTCACATGAGGTACAATTACTGTTCTCATCGCCTGGTAAGAACACTGGTCAGGGCTCAAAATAACGGCCGGTCAACGGACAATGTCCTGCCAGAATGGTGACTTGACCGGCCAAAAACTTCACTCGCCAGTCATGTTGACTGGTCACGCCATGCTGAGACAGTCACGTTGTTCATTCTTGAATTAACAATCAAATCCTCAACTGTAAATCTTAGATTTTTAATCTCTTTTTTATTGTGGCCTCTCACACGAAAACATACACAAACAGGTGCCTGTTTGAACTTGATCGCTTGCTGTTGCGTTCAGGATTGATTGGAATGCCATTCGAACAGTTGGGGTTATCCGTTCAGAAAAATATTTAGCCGTTCAAACAACTGCTGCTATTGTTCGAAAGAATTTTTCATCTTTTAGGACAGCAGCGGTTTTCAATTCAGAATTCAAAACTTTTCAGCCTTTCAAACAGCAGAGGTTTTCCATACAGCAAAGAATCTGATCAGCTTTTCGTGACGCTTTAGATTTGCCCAAACTGTCACACTTTTGTCACAGAGCATCTCTCTTTGCTGCCATATATTTCAAAGGTATTGCTCTACTGATGTCAAGATATTTGTAGTTTATTTCACTTTCACTGCACAAAAATTGACGAACAAGACGCCAAAACAGAACTTTTTGCTACACTGTCAAGTTGTTTCCAACTTAGACACTATGGGACTCTGGGACATCAAAACACACATTTAGTGTCTGCTTCATTTCCATGAAGCCATAAATGTAACATTGAGCACAAACCCAGTATCTAATTTAGGACCAGCCGATAAGTTACTGTTACAAAACGGACGAAAATAATAATGTACCAACAAAAAAGCCGAAGGCCTTTACATCAGTATCTGTATCTGTAAAGTTATTTTGTTCGCGAATGAAATTTGAGACACTCTACACTCATTATTTGGTAAAATCTACCGAATGATGGTCATTAGTTCTTTGTGAACAAAAACTCTCTCTAATATGACTACAACAGAGTTTAGATCTTTTATGGCCTGCACTTTAAAACTTAATTTTAGTCACATCATTAAGACACTTTCCAACACTTGTTGTGTAACTGTAGCCATATTTGTAGTAACGCAATGATTTGTTGTACATTTGCACGGGTGAGAATCAAGGAAACAGAAACTTCTTCTTCTGCTATATTTGTTTCCCCAGTTATTTCTGAAGCCCAAAATTAGGATCTGCTGATGAATGTTTGGTTTCATTTACGTTTTGACGGACATGAATACTTTGTAGAACATCAAAACAATGGCTTATGAAATTCAATATACCAATCAAAAAATTTGACGTTTTATAGAATGTGCATCCTTTCAATACTTTTTCTTTGGCAGGTGGCAAGAATTCCACTGACAGCATGCCACTTCATTGAGCTGCTGGACCCTGCCAAGGCTATCTTTGGTTAAGTCTTAAGCTTTTCTATGTAGTAGGCCAATTTTTAAATGGTCTAGCAACGACTGGAACAAACAAATTATATTTGTGAGTTTAATTAGGTGAACATTAAATTTTTTTTTTTTTAAATATCTTGACCAGTCAGAAATGAGATGTGGCCAGTCAGCATGACTGGCCATGGTCCAAAAATTATTTAGAGCCCTGCTGGTACAGTTCTACTGTATGAAAGAGGTTTGAACTCTTGACTTACCTGTCCTCTGAGCTCTCTTGTTCTTTTACACATTCTCTCCAGAGCTTGATCCAAGGATCCACCGGGTGTGGCCTTCTTCTTTCCTGTTGCCTGCAAAAAGAGCAAGAGCTTAACATTTCAAGACAGCTTTTGCAGATCATTGTTGTCGAATACTAGGCAACCCCTGGGCATCACAAATAGATGGCTAACAAAGTACATGTGGATAGGTTGATTATGTTGGTAAGTGAAGAATGTTTTGATATCTGTCATTTCTTGTTTTATTGGAATGTCTCATGGCAAATGTATGTGAACAGATAGTCAACTTGCTGCTTTGCACCTCACTAGCTATGATATCATGTATCAACTGACTTATTAAGACACAATTGTTTGTAATGGCTAGTATCTCGCAGGAAATGAATTTAAGAAGAGATTGCATTATCACAAGTTAAGTGCTGCTTCCTCTTCAACCTGTGACTTCAAATTTGAAGTGAATTTCAAGACAAAGTTTGTTTGATCTACACATTACACCATTCAACATCATTCCTTATAAAAGTTTCCAAAATGACCCCCACCCATAAATAAATAAAATTAAAGGAAATTTGGACTTAACATTCACTGCAACCCTCGCAATGTAAGCAAAGTTAAGTATCAACAGACTAAATGTTTCGGGTACGCTGCAATGTTGCATTCAAGAGTTAATTACTGTACATGTACAATAATACATGTAGTTCTTACATGATTCATGTACTCAGAGAGTAGATCCTGCAATGCTTGTCGCACTCCATTACAACTGGCAATGATCTTATCGCGGGTATCATCTCTTGTTGACATAGAATCAGCTAGCTGCGCTGCTCCACTTATGATGCTCTCAAGGCGCTGTTCCAAGGTGGGACGGGTACGTTTCTCTGAGTATGAAGTTGGATCCATGGCAACTTGAGACTGCAAAACAAAGAAAAATGTTCTTAGTTAATTATTATATATAAATTATTGCATGTACAGTCTCAAGTTTGTTATCAAAGCCATGACTCATAATTCCTAAAGGAAAAACAAAGCTTAATAAATTACTCACTCACAAATGGCTGTTACTTAAAATTAATTAATCATGATTTAAATTAAATTTGTGTTAAACTGTAGCAGATTTAAAACTTCTTGCCTAAGATTCAAGTTTGTAAATGAAAATAGTAAACAGCATGTGGCCCTATTCATCTTGCACAAGATTCAGGGGTTTCATAAATGTTTTTAGCAGGAGGGCAACTGGTTTTCACAGGAGGGCAAAATGTTTTGAACTGAACTGCTTTGTAAGAAGAACTTTCACAGATTCATTAGCATTTTCAGCTGGAGGGCAACTAGTTTTTACAGGCAGGCAAAACTTTTTTCAACTGAACTTCACCTTGAAGAATTAAAATTTCCTCTCGATGGTCAAACCAGGTGGGAAAAATCATCCTCCTGGCTGGTCAATTTGCCCAGTGCCCAGCTCAAAACCCCTACTTCAAGTTTGCAGGTTTGGTTTCCACTACAATTTACCTACTGTAGGAATTTTTGCTTTTGCTTTTCATCTCTACTTACATCAAAGTCATCCAAAGCTGTCGCTAATGCCCCCGGTGCCTCCAGTGGGTGTGGTCCACTTACACCGGTGGCCTGAGTAGCACCCGAAATAGCATTCACTGCTTCTGACATCTGCTTCATGACAAAATCTCTGTTTGCTTTAGCAGAAGTTACTTCAGGATGACGTACATATGCCTGAAAATAAACAAAAGATAATATGGCATTTAAATCAGACAGTGTACATTGTAATGTGAAGGCAGCTTGGCTGATTGACTTGCAATTTTGAGATCTCTATCTCAGATATTTCAAGCCCTGTAACAATACACATGTTTGTTCGTTTGTTTGTTTGCTTGCTTGCTTGTCTTTTAGTAAGTTTGCCTGATAGGGTGATTGATCGGCTGAGTGACTGAGTGACTGAATGCCTTACTGACAGACGGACGGACAGACTGACTGTCTGACTGACTGACAGTCTGTCTGTCTGTCTGTCTGTCTGTCTGTCTGTCTATCTCAAGACATCAGATAAACCATATGGACACCTTCTACCTGTTTGGATTCTGAACCATGCTACAATAATATTAATTAATAATAATATTTATTGTTCCTTTTTGTTTGAAAAGCTTGTCCAGAAAGTAACTGGTCTTTAGCAAAAGATACAACTCAGAGTGACAGACTAGCCTCCCAAGTAGAAAATCTTCTGGCTTGTCACAGAATCTTTCTATGCCTAATGAGCCAAAGAGAACCTACATACATGTAGGAGGCACAGTGGCAGAATTCATTTTGCAATAACAAATTGCAGCATGGTGAGCACTGCTAACATTATTTTGACTGTCTAGATTGTCCAAAGTAATAACACAGGTATTATTTTAAAAAAATTAATGCATTGAACAAAAGTTGACTATTAACGATCAATACATTCTTGTTCATAGCAAATGTCTTAAAATTCACCTTGGATGATGACAGCAACATTTTGCTGGACTCTTTCAGAGTGGCTCGGGCAGCAGCCATGTCATCTTTTCTCTGCGGGTCTTTCAAATCCTATTTTTACAAAAACAACATGTGAATTTGAGTACTATAAAGAAGAAACGTTCTGTCCCTATTATCCACCTAGCTTCTAATAGTAACCGTGTGAGTTCTTAAACTACAACTATCCAAAGGAGAGGTTTCATTAACATTTTCAGCGGGAGGACAATTGGTTTTCACAGTTGGGACATACTATTAGAACTTGTTATAGTGTTAATGAATTAGGTTTACACAATAGGAAACTTTATTAGGTGTAATGGTTATGTAAGATATATTACGTAACACATGTCCCAGAGCAGAACCTTAAATAGTCAAGTTGCATGCATGTTTGGATTATTGGAATTGTATAACTTAAGTTTAGCTTAGTAAACATTAAAGTTCAGTCGGCCGTTTTATTCACGAAGTAGCCTCATTATTCAGCGCTTAGACACAACAGAACTGAACTTCTTTGTACGGAAACTTTCCACTAGATGGTCAAACCAGCCAGGCAAAATTGTCCTGAACAACAGGTCAATTTGTCTGGTGCCAAGCCCTTAATGAAACCCCTGCCAAAGGACCTTGAATAATTAAACAAATTTTGTCTGACTAGAGTATTCATTTATGTGACAGTTAACTACATGTATAACAGTTGAACCTCTCAACAACAGCCACCTTGGGGATGGAGTTTACTGGCCATTGTGGAGAGAGGTAGCTATTAATGGGGGTTAAACAGCAAATCTCTCAATTGGTAGAGGTTCAACTGTAGTTAGAAAAGACTGTTGCTAGTGACTGACATTTTGATAACCTGACCAGATATCATCTTTTTGTAACTCTGAAGTTATTCTTCCTGGGTTTAAAACCATTTATGATTACAGAAAAAAAAGCAGATTTTGTTCACTCACAGCTTGTCTCTTTCCAGACAGCTTTGCCAAGTCCATCAAGTCATTTCCAAGATTTTTAAAGGAGTTCAACAAGTCTGCTGTATTGCTGGCCTTCTCTAGCTCCTTCAGTCTCTTCTCCACCTAAAACAAAGGTAATTCATTTATCAAAT